TTCGGAAGGGGAAGAACCGTTTGAAATAATGGTTTGGCAGCCAACTCCCCTGGTGTTGTTCCCTTGGAACGAGATGAGCAGTTCCTCGGAATCCGGAACCGAGGCGCTGCTGCGCAAGTAGTGGAGTGGGCATTTAGCATTATCCGGTCCCAGTTTCGCAACCAATAACGAGGGTATTCCAAGCAGAGTTCGAGATAAAACCCTCTCTGAGTCGAGGGTCACATCTGGCTTGCAGCGGAGAGGGGGACCCGCTGAAAAATTAATAAACCCCGTCCGTCCTCGCCGCCGCGCCTTCGCCTCTCCTTCGCCCCCTTCGCCTCTTTGCGCAAGAAACCTCCTCCTCAATACACTCCTGTTTTTCTTTTCTTTTCTTTTTTTTTTTTTTTTCGCGCGACAACAAATCACCCAAGCTCCACGCCAGTTCCAGTCCAGCATTGCACCAGCTGGCAATTACCGGGGAAATAGTAGCATTTGACAGCCACCCGGTCCCGGTCTGGTTGTCAGTAAGCCCTCTGGAACACTAATAATAAAACCCAGCAATTCGGGTTGAGATGTCAAGTTGGCGATTAGGCTCATTCTGCGGTGATCAATGGGAGCTTGGGACCCGGGAAGCTTGGCAGGCGGCAGCACGGCAGCACGGCGATCGGGGGTGCAGAGGCTTGGGAACAAGCTTCGCCAAGACGCTCTCTAGTGCCCCAAGATGACAAAAATACAGCCCCCGATTTGCCAGGTGAGCAATGGGAGATTCTCGATCACTGTACCCAGGGGGGGAGGGCAGAGCGGCACACTCTCTCTTACCGTTGTCGTTTTTGCGGTATGGGGCCAACGCTGTAGAAGCCCAGGTTTGGACCCCAATTAGGCTCAATGGAGAGAAAGTTGAGACAGGCCCCCCCCCCCGTCTAAGCTTTGTTCGTGTGACTCGCAGCTTCGTCGAAACCTCAGGCTGAATAGCTGAAGCCCATTGACCGCCGTACCCGGTTGGTGGGTGTTTCCGCACTGCCACTCTGTGAGACTGGATTACATATTATTATTATACATATGCGGAGGCCATTTCCGCGGAGGGTGAGAGCCTGGCCTTTCATTCGTTGTAATTATTTATCAAAAGTGTTTTTTTGGTTGTTGGCTTTCGTCATCAGAGAGCGACGGTCTTGATGCTGCCTAGATGCTCATTTGATTACTGGAACTGTGTTCGTTCCGATACATATATTTGGGATATAGTTATTGCTTTTGTTGCATACATAGTTAGATATGGTGATGATGTTGTAAGGAAGCATGCTAAGCCTCTCGTTTAATGCGCTTAACATTTAGGTTCAAGCTACCCTTCGTTTACCGTGCGGCCGGAAAACAGCGCCAGCCGCTGGTCTACTCTGGTAAGCTGCCGCAGCAAAACAAGTTTCCAACAATAAATTTCCAACAACCAACAACCCTTACGATGCGTTATTATAAAACAAGATGCCGTAGAGAAAAAGGCTGAATAAGCTTGAGAGATATGTCACATCTCCCCAGATTTCGAAATCGGCTACAGACGGCCTGTCAAAGCTGCTGCTTGCTGAGTAAAATGTTTATGCATTCCATACACACATACATACATCCCGTACACATTGGAGTTAAAATGGAGCCCTGGGTCTAACCGGCCAACACCAAACACCGAAATCGCTAAAACCAAATGCCGACATTGCTTGTTTCCTTATCTTCTATCCAAAACAAATGTCAAAATCCAATGACGGTTTATCATAAACCTACTCCTCGCCTAATACCAATGCAGCAACCGATAGAGTGCCCCGGAAAAATGATATCTTACGGTAACTTGGTTGGAACGAGATAAGATGGAAACCCTGGGGAACTGGAATGGAAAAACCGTCGTTGAAGCAACCAGGGAAAGCGAAACTAGTTTAAATATAAAACGGAGATGGTTGTTGCCGTAAAATACAACACCGATTACCTACGCGTCCCCCGTTAGCACTAAAATCAGGCTGACAGATAGAGATCTCTGTCTCTCTCTCTCTCTCTCTCTCTCTCTCTCTCTCTCTCGCCCCTCCCCCCCACCCCCCCCCCCACCACCCCCGCCTTTCCTCGATCTTGCCCTACATATATATAGCGAACGTCCAACTTGCTAACGGTTCCCCGAGATATCAAATCCGAACCAGAAGTTTATTTTTCTCTCAGCATTAGCCGAATCCAGCGGTGCGTGATTAAGTGCCAAAGAAAGAAAGAAATAGAGAGAGAGAAAAAAAAGAAAAATATAGAGCGGCCGTTCAGGGAAAATTTTGGATTTAAAGCGATTGGATATGCCGCAAACGACCCTAACTCGATTAAACTTTCGTTCCCCCAATATCTTAAAACCAACATCCCGATATCCTTCCGGCCGTCAGGGAATTTGAGAGCTGGGTTGATCTTTCGTCCCCCATTGGCCTCCCCCAACCGTGGTAACTTCGTTTGGAGTCCATAGTTCCACCCTTCAATCCGTGTCTGGAGAGCGGAAGAACCATCGTTAGATACATCTCAGTGTCAAAGTTGCACGTCAAGGTAACACGCACCTTGCGATATCGGGGAGACATGCGTCATTTCCCTGACATCACCATCCCCCCCCCATCCCGACCAGTCCATTAGCTTTCAAGGTACACAGAAGGGGTTTCTAAAATATAAACTGGTTCAAGGGTGACCTGGCGCTTTTTTTAGCTAGGGGTTGGTGGGGGGCCGTAAAAATGACGAAATCATGGGATATGGGGGGGCTTCGACTTTACACATTATATCGACCTGTCAGAATGGAGCCTAAATAAAATTATAAGGGGTCGTCATATTTGTTTGCTAGAGAGAGAGAGAAGCCCACAAATGCAACAGAAGAAAGTAGAATATACAACACAACACACTTCGCACTCTGAATTAGGTCTGGCCCCCTTCCAACCAGGGAAAGCGGTGGAGAGATAATCCCCGGAACAACCGCCAAGGGTTCCTCCGCGTCGCTCCGCCACGTGACCAGCCCGCCCCAGGGAAAATCGCTCGGGGGAAAGGCATAACTCCAGTGCTTCAACTACCATTCATTCATTCATTCATTCATTCATTCATTCATATAGTTATGGATGCATACGTCAACAACAACAACAGGTACTATACCCATGACCACCCCCCTCTCTCGCCCAGCGCTCACGGATGGAATCGTGTTTCGCATGGATTGAGGACGCCAAAGGTAAGCTGCGTTGGCAATTCCAAGGTATCGGGATGTTCCTTTAGTTGCTTGCCCGTTGGCCATAGACGAAGTGGAATACAGTGTAGAGGTGGTTCTTGGGGTCGCGGAATTCCTTTCGTACCGCGTCACACAGCAGCTGGGTCTCTTGTATGTCCCAGCCAAGAATACGCGTGAAAAGGGCGAATGTAAACGATTCGATACAGCTGCACATGTGTTCCATCTGGAATGCGCCGATCTCTTTAAGGTTGTTGTCTTTCGGCCATGTTCCCATGGGGACCTGGGAGAAATATAGTTAGTATATCTCTTTCTTGCAGGGAATTATAAAGAAGAATATATATATATATATATATAAATAAAAAGACTGCATATATACAGACCTTGTATATATCGTCCTCAACATTCTTAAAACCGGCCCTGATCAAGTTCCCCTTCTGCTCAGAGGCAGAATTTAGCCTCTTTCCGAACTTGATACTCGCTTCATCGGCCAGGGTTTGCCAGCGGAGGGTGTTGGGGCATTTTTGCAGCGTCGGATCGTCGTCGGAGTGAACCCACGCTTCATACTCCTGCATCTCAATCCACCCGCCAGGCTTCAGATTGTCCAATATGCGGCCGTATAATGTGTTCCAGTCTGCTATGCTCCCCCCCATTCCTCGCCCGTGGATAAAATCAAACGCTTCCTCGGGAAGATAAACCCACTCGCTCTCGACATCGTCGACATAAAACTTGCAGTTGGGAGGGATCCAGGACGGTTGAATGGGACTCAAGTCGTTCCCGATCACCGTGGTGGATTGGAATTCGTCGGCAAAATCAATGGCCCAAATCCCCGTTGCCGTCCCAAAATCTAACACCCTTTCGGGATGCGCGGTGATGGGGGCGCGGAAGAGTCGCCCGCCGAGTGTCAGACGGAATATGTGGTGATGGAGATCCAGCCGCTCCTGTTCCGCCTCGTCATTCGGTAGTAGGTACGATCCGCTGTGGTAGCCATGGTATCTTCTTCCATTTTCTACGCGCCGGGATTGATGGTTAGCTTGAGTAGCGAGGCTGGTTGGGGTTTAAGAGGGCAAATAACCATATCGGTATTTTAGGGTCGATGAAGATATGGAAGTTCCAAAGGATGATCCGCCGACTGTGGCACTGATAGAGTTGGTATCAAAATCTGTCTGTTTAAGATATCAGTTTAACCCTTGATGAGGATGAAGGAAAGGTGTTTTGTTACATCTACATCAATCCCTTCGCTGGGATTTGGTGCAGACGGTTGCACAATTGTCCTCCCTGAGGGTTGGTTTGACATTATTCTTCTGGGGATTTATAAAGTGCAAAGCAAAATTATAAACGGTACATCCGGTAATTACCACAAGCAATTCGATTGCGGTGTGTATCTGATGTCAACCACGCAGGTCTCGCAGGATATTTGTTAGACGTTGCGTGTTTGGCACCCTTGGACCTGGGGAACCGCCGGATTTTTGTACGAAACCTATCACTTGGAAATTGGGGTTCAAGATTCTCTTTGTGCTGCCACGCAGCACAGAGTTCGCCGGCTTTCTTTTAGCCATGGTGCTAAAGCGGACCAGGATCAGCTCAATCACCATGGCCCCCTTACTACAAACGGCAGTAGTGCCCTGGATTTGAACG